GAAATCTGCTGGACCCAGAGCCATCCCTCAGTACTGGGCAGGCAAATTCATGCCTCCTCCCATGTGGTGGCCCCCTTGCTATTTGAAGGCGGGGATCCTGTGTCACTCCTTGTGTCATTGGAGCCTATTTTTAATGCCAGCTGGTTCAGTTTCTTCACGTAGCAACAGCTCTTTGTTTTCTCCAAGCTGCAGAATTAGAGCACCCATTGCTCCAAATGCATTCTGTCCTGTGGTCTGCATAAGACCAAGAGACTTCCTCCCCTCTTCCCTTCTTGAACCTCACTGCTTTGGCCTAGACCTTTCTGTGTGGATGATGACATTCCCTCCTTTCTTTCTGTTCCCACACCCACATTTTCAATGTGGCAAAGCTGTTAAAATTCCCTCCAGGAAACTCAGCCCAGAGGGGCCAGGGCACTCCAGGAATGCACACAATCCTGAAGTCTGTCTTGGTGAGATCTGTGCAAACCTCCTTGCCTCCCTGGGGCCCCAGATAGACATCCTTGCATCCTTGCCCTCTTCCTTTAGTCATTGCAGGAGGGCCCCACACCCTGCTTATGACCTCCATTTTCCCAGCCACATGCACACTGACACACCCATGGCACTCCTTGCATCCTGATGCCTTGGGCCCTCAGCCACGTGGCCTGGGTTGAATTTCAGTCAAGGAGGCGACACTTGGTGGTTTCACATGTGGCCGTGTTGCTACACGCCAAGGCCTGAGTGTTAGGGCAGGGCAAAGATGGAGGGGATTTGCAGAGCAACGTACCATTTTTGCAGCCTTGTAAATCAGTCAGAAGGGGTTGGCTAACCTGGCAGGAGTCCTGAGGTTCACTCTGAGCATTTGTTTTTACTCAGTTTTCCAGGAGCTTCATGTACATAAAACTATTTTTAAAAGAGAATAAAAAGTGGATGGGGAACTCTCATGCTAGTTTGTGAGTGAGGATAACTGGGGTTCTTGGGGTGAGGCCAGAAGATAATATCAAGTAGAGAATGTCCCTGATTCCTGCTTCTTGTATGAAGCTCAAGTGCAGTTCCTTGCCACAAGGCAAGATAGGCTGAGAGGGTGAGAGACAGGCTGTGAGCCTTTGGTAAGTGTCAAGGCCATGTTTTTGGTGCAGTGGCCTCTGGTGCCGCTGGGGTAGGCTTGTCCTTGGTGCATTAGTGTATTTGGCACAGAGCGAGACGGGACAAAATGGGATTCTTAGAGGTTTTGGGTTCTTATGCTTAGAAATTCTTCCCATGGCCCAGAGCGGAAAGTCTGAATTCCATAGCCTGGCCTCCAGCGCTTCTCCTAGTCACTCAGACTCCAAGACCCAAGGTTTGAATCCTACTTCTCCACCTGGAGAGGGCAGGTAGGGGGTGAATATCTTTTCCCCAGGGCCCTCTGGTGGAGAGGTAACAGGTATCCCCTCACTGTCAAAAGTCTAAGAGGTACAGCCTGTGTCTTGTTCCATTGGGGCATGAGGACAGGGTGGAGGGGAACCCCTGAGCCTGTTGGTTGTGAACCCATCTGTGAATCATAAAAGTGCCCCCTGTTTTAGAGAGAAAATTAGGGGATTAGCTCTCCTTGGAAGATACCTCAACTTGTTAGGTTGTCTATACTTCCCAAGCCATAGAGGAAGCAAGTGGACCACATCACACAGTGGAAGGCCTTTTAAATTAGCTTTTTGTTTTTGTTTTTGTTTTAAAGTGCAGGTCACCCAACTACATGCCCAGTTTGATTGTGTTTTTTTTTTTTTAAGCCCACATACATACACAAATATGAATGGTGTTAGGGAAGGAGGCCTGGGTGACTGGAGCCCAAACGTCAGCCAGTTAGTTATCTGTGGGCTTAGGTGACAGGTGGGTGGCTGAGTGCTCTTTAATCTTTGATCTCAGAATGTTTTGTAGTGAACAGAGAAGAGTTGGAATTCAGGGTCTTCTGGATAGAGGATTGCTGTCCTGTTCCTGCCAGGGCTGGTTTTTCTAGTTCTCTCTCTCCCAGATGTGTGGACTGGGCTGGGGAGAGAAACTTGGAAGGAGGGCCTCAGTGAGCATCTCTAACACTGTGACTGGACACATGGGGAAACTCAGTCCCTGAGTGAGAAGGGACTCATCTGGGGTTTCTTAGCTAGGACCTGTGCCCACATGTGAGGTCTGAGCCTTTTGGATCTGGTGTTCTTTCCTCTGACTCCAGTGGCAAAGTTTCATGCTGTGAACCCACTACAGACCAGCACACTGTAGGCCTTGGGAAGGCCAGGAGTTTGCGTTTTGGTTTTGTGTTTTTAGAGAAAACTCACATGAGACACTTTCCTGAGTGCATTAATGGAGCTCTAACTTAAAGCTAGAAACCACAGGGAGAGGCTGAGTCCTAGCAATCCAGAAAGAAATGGCTCCAGATAGTCAGGTTTGAGCAAGTCTTTGAATACTACAAAGTAGTAATCTTTTACTGAACACCTGCTGTATACCTCACGTGCTGGGTCTTAGGGAAAGGTAAACAGCCCCTGCTGTCTAGGGATATGAGTGGGAGGCTGGGATCTAGCATACTGCAGACAGAGGTAGAGTAGGGACCTCTTCAATTGGGTCTTGTGAGTAACAGTTACGTCTGAGCCCTTCCCAGCCTTTTACACACTTTTCGCCCAATGACATTATTTGTTGCTTTTCTGCCCTTTTAAAACTTTTCTGTTGTTAATGCATGCTTGCTTCATAATTGAAGGGGAGCAGCAACAATCATCATCATTCAGGACACAAGCTGAAATCCTGCACAGCTACTTGGCTTAGCTGCTGGAGAATGCTTTAAGTCATAGAAGTTGTCTCTAAACCCCACAATGGCTCACTCCTGTAATCCCAACTACTCAGAAGGCAGAGATCAGGAGGATTGTGGTTTGAGACCAGCCTGGAAAAACAGTTGTCAAGATCCCATCTCAGTAAGCCTAGCTCACACATCTCAATAAATTGCTGCACACACATCTGAGATCTCAGGGAGGCCGTATGTAGGAGGATGGCAATCTAAGACCCTACCTGAAAAATAACTACAGCAAAAAGGGTCTGAGGGTAGAGGTGAGGTTTGAGTAGCAGAGCATCTACCTCGCAAGTGTGAGGCCTGAATTCAAACCCCAGCACGCTCCCTCAGAAAAAAAAAAAAAGTTCCTTGGCCTCCTACCCCTTAGTCATTGCTGCCATGGCTTGCCTTTGCTGTTCTTCCTGGGAAGATGGCAATTTCAGAGAATCATTCTACCCCTTTCCTAGGACCATGGTTACCTTGGTCTTACATTCAAAGAACCATGGTCCTCTCACCTACTCTTAGTCCCTAGAACCATTGACTGACTCCTAATTTCATAGGAAAACCACAAGTTAGAGTGAGGCACCTCATAAGGAAAGCAGCAGTAGTAATGCACTTACAAAATCAAGCTTTCACTTTAAAGTTGTTTGGGTTTTTTTTTTTTTTTTAATTGCGACATGCACTTATCCTATATTTCAATATACAAAAAGTCAAATATTCAAATAACAAAAGACATGAATGTTTTACCATAAAAATAGATAGATCTTAGATAGATCTACAAATGTCTAGTGTAAACCATTTCAAAAGTTAGTGACTAAAATACCAACTAGATACTATCAAGTTAGCACTGATTCAGTTTTAGTAAACTGGCTTAATGGTATGTCTGTTAAGAATTAAACAGCTACTATTCACAATAGCCAAGTTATGGAAACAGCCAAGATGCCCCACCACTGACGAATGGATTAAGAAAATGTGGTACCTATACACAATGGAATTTTATGCAGCCATGAAGAAGAACGAAATGTTATCATTCGCTGGTAAATGGATGGAATTGGAGAACATCATTCTGAGTGAGGTTAGCCTGGCTCAAAAAACCAAAAATCGTATGTTCTCCCTCATATGTGGACATTAGATCAAGGGCAAACACAACAAGGGGATTGGACTATGAGCACATGATAAAAGTGAGAGCACACAAGGAAGGGGTGAGGATAGGTAAGACACCTAAAAAACTAGCTAGCATTTGTTGCCCTTAACGCAGAGAAACTAAAGCAGATACCTTAAAGCAACTGAGGCCAATAGGAAAAGGGGAACAGGTACTAGAGAAAAGGTTAGATCAAAAAGAATTAAACTAGAAGGTAACACACGCACAGGAAATCAATGTGAGTCAATGCCCTGTATAGCTATCGTTATCTCAACCAGCAAAAACCCTTGTTCCTTCCTATTATTGCTTATACTCTGTCTACAACAAAATTAGAAATAAGGGCAAAATAGTTTCTGCTGGGTATTGGGGGGGGGAGAGGGAGGGGGCGGAGTGGGTGGTAAGGGAGGGGGTGGGGGCAGGGGGGAGAAATGAACCAAGCCTTGTATGCACATACGAATAATAAAAGAAAAATAAAAAAAAATAAAGAAAAATAAAGTCATTATGAAATAAAAAAAAGAATTAAACAGCTAAATGTAACAAGTTTCTGAAAAAACTTGAAATACAGGTGGATGTTTACCTCAGCCTCCCAATTTTAAATTTTTATTTATTTTTTATTTTTTGATGGTATCGGGGTTTGAATTTAAAGCCTCATGCTTACTAGGCAGTAGCTCTACCACTTGAAGCACTCCTCCAGCCCCTGCTCCTTTTTTTCTAAAGTTTTTGGCTTCTGCTAAGAGAAATAATTGGTGGTTGTTAATCACAAAAAGGTTATATTTTTCACAGGACCAATAACTGCAAGGAAACAATAATGCAGCTGATGGATAACCTGGCAGATTCCCCCTAGAAGCCCCCTCCCAGATGTTGGTGAGGCAGGTGTCTTCTCTGCCTCTAAGTGGGCCTGTGGCCATAGACCTGGGTGAAGAAGACCAAGATGCATGTTTGGGGGTGGTTGAAACTTGGAACTCAATACAGGATGCAGAATCTCCTTGATGATAGAGTGTGTTTACTGCAGGCAGACTCATTTTGAAAACAATCTGCAGCTAGCCCATTGTCTTTACCTGGGATCCACCAGACACCCGCTGCATTTCCACACTGGGTCTTCTTCACTCCCACATTCTTGGAGCTTTCCCAGAGCTTTCCCGGCTCACAGACCACAGCCCCTCCCAGCACTCAGTCCTCCACACTCGTAATGCAGAGGTAGGACAACAACCATCCTGCTTTTTATAGGACACAGATTGAGAGGGGCCAAGTGGCTTGCCCACTAGTACAGATGAAGTTGGGTGGGTTGTTCATTGTGCCATGTGTAGTGTGCTAGTGGGAATCCCACACCTCCTTCTGTCAAGGTTGGAAACCACGGGGTCTGGTTCCTATTTTGTGACTGAGGAAAGGAAAGGAAATGACAAATGACTTCTTCAAGAAAGTGATGGGTGTGGGGAAGGGGGAGGCTGCATTCATGGGACAGAAGGAGGCCCCCTGTTTCTGGCCCCTGAGGGCTGCATGCTGTGCCCGAGGACAGCCAGAGCTGGGAGATGATCACTGGATTAAGTTTCCTGTTCTTGATCACAATGGAGTGGGGGACCAGCAGAGCTGACTGGAGGTAGTCATCTTGCAGGAGTGGCATCCAGAAGTTTAGCATCAGGGAACCGGTCCTGATAGGACAATCAGGCTTGTGACTTCCTCAGAGGTGGGGACTCAGGTCTCAGTTCTGTCTGCGTGAGCACACAGAACCAGGCATAGACACGCCGGCCACATGAACAGGTTGGACACAGATTGTTGGAAGGAGGCCAGGTGGGGAGCGCGACGACGTCTGCTTACCCCTGGGAGGCATTTGTTGAGGCAGATGTACCAGGTGGGTGCCAGGATAGCAACATTTAACACAAAAAGTAACAACAGTCCCCTGTCGTGCAGCCCCCGCTTCTCATGAGGCACCCAAGACCCTTTGTGGGCTGAGATGCACCTGCTTTCTTCACTCTCGCCTGGGGTGTTTCCTAGTTGATCTGTCACTTATTCATTGAAATGTGGGTATTTATTGACCTTGCGCTTTGTGCTACATGCCAGCTACACCATTTATAAATCATTCCACCTGCCCTCAAAGCGCTCTTGAGAGCAGCTGCTGGGTAAGGCATGGCGTCACACTGTTAATAACAGCCACTGTGTGGTGGCTGCCCACCACCACTCTGCCAGGTACTACAAGAAGTTCCTTTGCCACTTCTACCTCCTGCCATTCCTGCAATATCCCTAAGGTGGACATTGTTCCTCCATTTTAGAGATGAGCAGTAGAGTTTCCAAGTTCATTACTTGTCCATTAAGTAACACACCTGGGAGTTGGACCAGGTGCAATCGTTAAACCTACTTCCAAGCCACCTGAGTGGTGAGTGGTGCTTTTCTAGGGACTAGAAGGGCTTTATGTAGAATGCAGAATGAGGAGGGTCCGTGGGGGATGGGGGGACATAGTGAATGGGGGGCAGACACTGAGCTCTGTGCCTGGCTAGTGGTTTGACCACTACCCTCTGCCTTGTGTCTCCACAGAGTGCAGCAGCTGCCCCAAGCCCCGTGCTTGGCAACATTCCCCCCAATGATGGGATGCCTGGAGGCCCCATCCCACCGGGTTTCTTTCAGGTAAGTGCCTGGCTGTGGGTCTTGTGCTCCTCTTGCACTTGGGGCCTGGTGGTAGGCAGATAGGTGGGTGGAAGAGGAGAAAAGAAGCACGGCTCAGTTTGCCATGGTCTAAATACAGTTGCTTTGTGCTGGTTGAGGCCCTTCCCGTTGCATTCTCAATCCCTTCCAAAAGCTGAGTTGGGGAGGAGAGAGATGGGAAGGCAGACACCTCCCGCTGGCAGTGCCCTGCCATCAGGTTGTTTTCTTCACACCAGCTCCACAGGCACAACAAGGTCTGCCTGGGGAGGCGGGGGCTGCTTCCAGGCCACTGACAGAGCTTTCTTTTAACAAAAGGCTTTTTTTTTTCATTTTCTTTCTTTCTTTTACATTTTTTTAAATGAGTAAGCTGTTCTTGTTCTGTTTTGTTGCTGCTGTCATTGTCATTGTTTACTTTTGCCTGTCCAAACTTCAAACCCTAGGCGTAATCTAAAAAAACAAAAACCCCACCATCCTGGCAGGTCTCAGAATCCTTTCCCTCTGGTTAACCACTGAGTTTTTCCAAGTGTGGTCACAGACAGCATCCTACAGCATCTGTGCCCACACTCTGTCCGCCACAGGCAGGGACGGATCCCACATGGGTCAGGAGTCCTGGCGTCTCCAGAAGACACTTTGTTGGGCTTTTTCTAGGGTCTGTGAGAAGTCAGGCTTTCTATTTTGTTGGGATTGGGTGTGTCTGCCACCCCTTCCACACCTCCTCCTTCATCCCTCCTTTCCCTCCTGGCAACTTATTCCACTTCAGCTTATTGGGACTGGGAAATGCATCTTGGAGTGCTGTCAGCCTGTAGGGCTGTGAGGAACTTTCATGGTGAAACTCTTGATTATGACATCGCTCATTCCTGCAAGCCTGTCTGGGCTTACTTGGAAAGCACTCCTGGCTCTCCATGCCTTCTAAAGGATGGCACTCCCAAGAGAAGGATATGGAAAGAAAAGGGCCAAGGTGTCCTCTGTGAAGCCCAGGAATTCACAACTGGTCCAGTGAGGCAAAGTCCAAGGAGTCCTGTGCTCAGTATAAGCCAGAATCTAGTACCCACCATGTATGTCAACAAGGGAGACAAGACAAACACTTCTTAGGGATGTCGAAGGGACTTCTCATTTTGCAAGATGTTACACTTTGGTCTTACTGTTAACTCCTAGGAGAAGAGGGTAAGGACATGTTTTTTACTAGCCAAGAAGAGCATTGGTGAAATTTGAGTGTTCCCCTAAAAAAGAAATAGCAAATCACCCATCAAGAGGGCAGTGGGCAGAGAGAAAGGGATGCAGGACAGTGGTTCAGGACGTTGGATGGCCACCTGTTTATCTGTATGCATTCCCAGAATGATGCCAGAACTGGGACCTTATCTGAGGCATGGAGACAAGTATAGCTTCTGAATTCTTGAGGTGTAAGGGTTCATTTCAGACCAGGTGTTGCTAGGGTCTTGGCTTGGGGAGAGAAAGTGTGACTTTTAAATCCCTGGAAAGCCATGAACCCAAAAAAGTGCCCTTCATCAGAGAGTCACCCACACCAAGGGTAGCCATCCTCTTAGCCAACTGCAGATAGGCATTTTACATCTGTCTGGTGGCGTTTCTCACTGGTATTCTGTCCAGGTAGGACTTCTTTTTCAGGCTCACATGTCCTCACCCATGATGCCAGGGATGCCCTGACACAGTGCTGGTACCATGTTCCACCTGCGTGCATCTTAACTTATTGAGGATGCTTGCTGGCATTCAGGTCTCCACTTCAGGTCACTGTGTTGGGCAGAAGTATACAGTAGTCAATCGTGTTTTTTTAAGATAAGCTGATGACTTCTATTTTGGCCTGAGTCTTGGACAAGGAACAGGCCTGCTTGATATGTGGCAGCTCCCAACTTCCTGCTTTGGTATAATAGTCTTCCATGGGCAAGGCCTAATTCCAAGCACGTTTCTTGGGCTCTGCCCTGTGATGTTGGCCGGCAGTGGGGGTGGTGGTTAGAAAGCCCAGACTGATTCCTGTCCTTAGTTAGTCCTCCAGTCACTATTAAGCTGAGGCAACTTTTGGACAGTCTTGACTTGAGATTATCTCTGTTCCCCGGGCACATTCAATTGTCAGGAGCTGGCTGGGTTATCCAGCCTCTCTGCCCCTTGGGTGACTCTGGGTGATTCTTTTCTCTTGTTCCCCAGCAACATTTCCCCATCAGTCAGATGATGGGGGATGGGAAGGCATAGTTCTTCCTGGCCATGATACTGACCACTTGACCTAGCTCCTTGCTGAGGGGAAAGGGTGTCTCTCTGGAAAGAGGTAGTGGCAGCCCATTTCCGGAGCAGGTCGCTCACAACAGAAATACTGGCTATTGATTGCTGGTCCTGCCCCTTGTTCATCTTCAGGAGACTACTCTGATATTGGAAGGGAAATAGAGATGATATCGAGGTTTTATCTGCTGCCAACGATTGCACTTCTTCCCCTTTTGGCCTTAGCCTGAGCAGGCAGCTCTACTACAGGAGGGCTTTGTGCTGGGGAGCCAACCTGGGTAGCTGATCCAGCTTTGCCTAGACCCTGTCTTAGTAGCCAGTCCCATTTTCAGGTCAAGACTGCACCACCAGTTGGTCCTAAATTTAGAAGCCAGAGGGGCCTTGAGGGTAGGTAAGAGGGAACAGCTGTTCCTCCCTTCTGGCCTCTCAGAAAGCTCCTGAGAAAGAGACTTCCTTTCTCAGATCTGTTGACTGCCAGACTGCCAGACCATTCCTGGAGTCAGAAGATGGGGCTATCTACACATGAAGCTCTTGTCTGCTTTTTCTTCTTTGGTATCCAGGTTTCCAAGATGGACAGTGCCTGGTAGCAAGTTATGGGCTGTCAGGGAAGGGGTTTGGTTACTGACCTGAGGATACCTCATAGGTGGGGAATAGTGTGGGGTTCTTGGGGTCTTGGCAAAATTTAGCAAGGGCATTTTGATCTATTCCCTGTTACTTAGAAAGAAAGAAAAAAGAAAAAAACCTACCATAATCTTGGCATCCCCAGCACCTGGTGTGTACTAGGGACACAGTACCTGTTTGAATTGAATTTATTTGTGTTGCTCACATTACAGCAGAGGAGCATAGCCAGCCGCAAAGCATTAGATCCAATGTTCTGGCCAGGGAAGTTCTAATAGGAAGCCAGCCTGGCATCCAAGACTGCTAATCTGGAGTGGAAAAGAGCACAGAGGACTTGGCCATGCATTGCTGAGTGACCATGGGCCAGTTGCTCCCTGCCTCTGGGCCCCAATTTTCTTAACAGTAGATGGAGATGGCTGAACCAGATGGTCTCTTGAGGGCTCTTCCAACTTCGGATTTTCTGCTTTGGATTTTACAAAATCCAGAAGTGAATTTTTTCCCCCCCTCCTTCACACAGCTTAACTCAGTCTGCACATCTGGCAAACCCAGCTTGGCTTGGCCAGGCCCACTGGACTGGGTGGGTCCCTTAGTTCCTTGGCCCCAAGGGGGCACCATCCAATAAGGATTTCTAGGTCCAGAACTGGGGGTCACAGAGAGCAGAGCAGTTAGTACAGACTGTTTTTGTTCTTGTTTTGTTTTTAAATTCCAATGATTGTTTTCAGTCCTGTAGTGCTTTTAAACATGCAACTTACTTTCATTTTGATCACAGTGTTTCTGCAGAAAAAGCATGGCCCAGTGGGAAAGTGAGGCTCAGAAAGGTGAATGACAGCCGGAAATTATCAATCTAGAGCTGTAATTGGAGTCTAATACCTGGTTTCCCATCTACTATTCTTCCCACTAGTGGGACTTGGACCTGGCACTCCTATTGTAGATGCATATCTGATTGTCTAGAGGAAGAGACTATGACCATCTTCTCTCAAAAGTTGCAAAACCATTCAACATCAGCTGGGATTGACTATCAGTGGCTACCTTAGAGCACTGTGCTGAGAATGATTCTGAAGTCATGTCTTGGCTTACAGGTACTGATTGGCAATGTCTACCGTGACAGTGGGCATGTAAAGGGATTGCCTGTCGTATTTATCTACTCCAGACTTCTCACTTATAGATGGAATCTCAGAGGGAGAAGGGATGATAGTCATTGGCCACCTGTGGTATACAAGGCCCAGGGCTTGGTTCTAGGCTAGCAGTGAATCAACAGCCATAGACTTGTCTGCCCAGGGAGACTGACTAGCAACCTATAGCACCGAGAAAAGGCCTACCTGCCATGATGATCGAGCAGGAGAGCTTCCTATAGGCATTGCAGCTCTAGCCAGAATGGTTTCTAGAATGAGGTGGGAGACAGGTACTTGGAGGAGGCTGGAGAGGTTGTCAGGCAGTTGTGGATGGACTTGTTGAAGAGTCTAGGCTTCATTCAGTGGGCAAAGGGAGACCACTGGGGCACTATGGGCTGACTCATGCCTGAGCCAAGTCTGTGTCCCAGAGCAGTTACTCCACAGGTGCTTTAGTGGCTCTATAAGAGGCAGGGACTCGGGTGCTGCAGCAGGTGTTCAGGATTGACTGACCCCATTAATGGTAGATACTGGTGCCGTGCCCAGCAGAGGTTATAGGATTAAAGATGCTGCCTTCCTTGGAAAAGACAGTCCTGGGCCAGTGGAGGGGTCCTGTTCCCTTTGCCAAAAGCTCAGCTGGTCCTGCTCTGAGCCTACCCATGGTCAGGACAGTAAAGAGTGGTTGACATGTACCCCATTCCAGTGAGGTCTCATTCCTGCCAGACAAGCCCACCTGCCCAGAGACCCTCCCTAACAGCTCCAGTGACAGACCCAGTAGAAGCAAATACCATATACAGCCCAGAACCAGAGAAATGATCAGCAAATAAGAGGGCAGAGAGATACACATGACCCCACACCTTCCCTCCTATTATTATAGGGATGACTCCTCTCTTGTCTCCCGCAAATGTGGTTGGGGTTTCCCTAGGAGAGAGGCAGCCTCAAGAGGGCTCCAATGGCTGTCTGAAGTGTCTGACATTCTGCCAAGTGGAAGAGACAGCCTTGCCTCTGTGACTCTTCAGCCTTAGATCC